TAATGAGCGATAAAGATAGAATGATGCAATAGCGCTAATAGCGCGCTCCTTGAGTGCAGCCACAGTTATATTGGAATTTTTTTTATAACTTTGGCAAATTTAATATAATATAGATCATCATGATACAGATTATAGAGGGAAAGATTCTTGATGCTTTTTGTTTTAAAAGTTTTTATTGAAAAGTATGTAAATTGTAAGGAGTGTCGTAAGAATGTTAAAAACTACGAAGCTGTTGTCGCGTGTGATTTTACAATGTTATGTTTTATTAATTTTGAAATAATTTATATTTTATGTTACAACGTGTTATAAAAGTATAAATCTGTTAAAATTGACAATTTTTTATTTATCATTTTCTTTCCGTATTTCTCAGAGAGATACAAAATCTTTTTTAAAGAGATATTGTAAAACAAGAAATACCGTGAAAGCAAAATCTTCGTAAAGTTTAATACTTACTGTAAAACTTAACTTTTTAGTTACGACGTATGACGGGTCAGATGTTAGCGTGGATTGGAATTTTTTAGAATGCATTTATCAGAACCGAAATGCTGTGCCAACTAAGGTTCCAGAAGAAGACAGAAAAAATTTCAAATTTGATCCATCCAAATATTATGACGCCGTAATCATGCCGTGGTATAGAAGTCAAGACCAACCACAGGTAAATTCATATAATTAGGTATAAATTAAATATATTGAAATGTAAAGCTCTTGTGTATTTTATGATCTTTCGCGGTACTTTTTCCTTTTTTTCCCCTCCTTCAGTACTTCTATGTAGCGGAAATATGCGCAAACTTAAATCCAAAGTCTTCTTTTCCCGGCCACGACTATAGCACTTTCGAAGAGTATTACTTGAAGAAATACGGTATACAAATACAAAATCTAGAGCAATCGTTGTTAGATGTGGATCATACATCAGCTAGACTAAACTTTTTAACTCCTAGGTAAGGCCTATGTGAAACAACTATTTATCGAGACATTCACATCTTGTAAACAACGATCTAATAATTTGTTTATTCTAGATATGTAAATCGCAAAGGCGTCGCGTTGCCTACGAGCAGCGAGGAGACAAAACGCGCGAAGAGAGAAAATTTAGAGCAGAAACAGATTCTTGTTGCTGAATTATGCGCCATTCATCCTTTTCCAGCGTCTTTATGGAGACAAGCGGTTTGCTTGCCCTGCATATTGTATAGAATTAACGCCTTGTTGCTCGCTAATCAAATACGATGTCAAGTTGCACATATGATAAATTTAGGGCAACAAAATCTGAATTCAGGTACGCGATCGCTTGAAATTTGCATACGTATTTCGAGGAGACGTATTTCATTTCCGTCTGTCGATTCAATAATGAATTAGAATTAGACAATTCCGAAATGATGCGAGTGTGTGTGTGTGAGAGAGAGAGATTAATATTTATCGGTTAATCTCTTCGATAAATTATTCTAGATTTTGAATGGCCGGCGTTAGACTTTGGGTGGAGCTTGGCAGAAGTATTGAAAAGATCAAAGGAAACGGAGAAAGCAAAACAGACTAAAAATGAAAATGCACAGGACAACTCGTCTTTGAACGGTATAGACGTTAGCGAGTGTGACGAGAATACGCCGTCTGGCCAAGACGTGAACGATAAACAACAGGTATCGTGCAACGAGATTGAAAAACAAATAGAATTGGAGTCCGACAATGCCCGAACCGATGAGGTAGAAGAAGATGTTGCCGATGAGCAGAAGGATGACGAGCTGGAGATTGGTACATGGTCGAACGACATGGCATGGTCCAACGACGTGACGATGAGTTCCACGGATTATGATGTGAATAATCTGCAATCGTTTCCTCTAAATGTGACGGTCTTGCCGCAAGATTTTGGTTGGAATGACATTCGATACGGCTCGCCAACGTACGAATCCGACTTGGATGGTTACGAATCAGATGACATATACAGCGATGGCTTTGTCGACACGTCTGATGAAAGTGAGGATGAAAGTAGAGGCTTGAAGATTGCTTACATGGGAGAAAATATTGCCGAAGCTGTGGAGGATGAGAAACAAATATGTAAGCAGGAGATTAATAAAAAGATCTTGGATCTTTTGGAGACGGAGAAGAATTTCGATAATAATTTTTGGATGTATGCGGAAAAGGACGAAGAGTTATTACTTGCGAAGCATAAGGAAGCGCATTATGAGTTCGCCAAGAGAAAGGAACGCGATATAATGACCGACGGTACTTTCATATCTTGCAATTCTGAAATTACGATTAAGAGGAGAAACTCGTCGAGTTGTCAAACTGAGAGCGAAAAACCGAATTATAAACATAAAGATTACATAGAAACTGTTGTAAGAAAATTTACTATCCAAGTATTAAATAAGAAGTCTACTGAACCTGCTCGCATGGTAAAAAAAGAGATTAATAAGCCAAATGAAAGAAATTATTCAAATAACGGTCTCTTTAGTTTCGACCATCAACCGGAATTGAGAGGCCATTCAGGACCAAGTCCTAGTCTGATCCTGCAGGCTCTAACAATGTCTAATGCGAATGACGGTATTAATTTAGAGCGGTTGGAGACAATCGGCGACTCGTTTCTCAAGTATGCTATAACTACATATTTATATTGTACGTATGACAATATCCACGAAGGAAAGCTCAGTCATTTAAGATCAAAACAGGTATTTTATATTTTATATTGAGCGATTATACTAAGCGTCACATCTATTTACGTCTATGTAACGTTCGTCAAATTGGTGTTTTTTTTTTCTTTCAGGTAAGCAATTTGAATCTTTATAGACTTGGCAGGCAAAAAATGCTCGGCGAGAGTATGATAGCAACCAAGTTCGAGCCGCATGACAATTGGCTACCTCCTTGCTATTACGTTCCTAAGGAACTCGAGCAAGCATTGATCGAATCTGGTGTTCCTTCCGCACTGTGGAATCAAGCTGACATTCCTACCTTGCAAGCTGTGAATCCCACCGAAATAACTCAGCTCGTTAAAGAGACTGAGGAAAAGCTCGTGATTATGAAGAGTGAATTGGATAAGAACGAAAGTAGACTGTCGAACAATTTAGATAATTTGCGATGCTTCATACCTTACAATTTAATTACGCAGCACAGTATCCCAGACAAAAGTATCGCGGATTGCGTAGAAGCTTTGATAGGGGCATATTTAATCGCATGTGGCCCCCGTGGGGCGCTTCTCTTCATGACCTGGTTAGGAATTCACGTTTTGCCCACCGAAGAAGTTTGCATCATAAGCGAGAACAAGCCGGAAGAAAGGATACCTGGCAGTACGCCATACGTAAAGGGAGTTAATGAACACGGTGAAACTACTTGGACGCAAGTGAGTAGTTGCATTTAGATTCTCTAAAAGAAAATCTCTTAAACTCGTTCGGAATTCGTTGGAGACGTAATTGTAATATATGCGGACAATTTTTGTGAACAGTTTTCTGACTTTCAGTTTGTCGTGATGTAATTTGAATGTAATAGATCGTGTTTTAAATATTTCAAGAGTTTTAATTACTTTAATGGAGGTTTCTCTTTCGGTCACTAGGGTGTCCAATATATTGAAACTTGAAGTTTTAGAAAACAGTCGTTGTGTATGTGTGTGTGCTTATGCAATATTTTTTGCAAACCCGAAAAGTTTATTTAAACACACATTTTTAACAATTTATATGTGTGTAAATTTTTATGACAATCGTTTTGTTTATGTAAAAAAATTTTCTCCTTCAATGTTTCTCTTATTAGATTCGTTACGGAAAGTTGGAAGAGCCGCAAAATCCATTACTCCGTTACATTCCTGACCCAGAGAGTGAGTTATATATGATGCTCGACGGATACGAAGAGTTGGAGGAAAGTATAGGATATAAATTTCGTGACAATAGTTATCTTTTGCAAGCGTTTACGCATGCTTCTTATCAGCCAAATAGATTAACGGATTGTTATCAACGTTTGGAATTTCTTGGCGACGCTGTCCTAGGTAAAGCTTTTATCAATTAAGGTTAATTATAAAACTGCAATATATAATTATCTGTAATTATCGCATCAAAATTATATCTCTTGCATTTCAGATTATTTAATAACTAGACATTTATACGAGGACTCTCGGCAACATTCGCCAGGTGCTTTAACAGATTTACGATCCGCTTTAGTCAATAACACGATATTTGCTTCTTTAGCTGTAAGGTGCGGTTTTCATAAATATTTCCGTCATCTATCTCCTGGACTAAGCGTGGTAATAAATCGTTTTGTCAGAATACAGGAGGAAAATGGACATTCCATTAGCGAAGAGGTACAAAGAATTATTATTGCTTGTTATCGCTATTATTATCATTATCGTCAACATCACCATCAACATCATTATAATCGGCATTATTGTTGTTCAAGTTGTTATCATTATTATTTATTATTTTCTCGATGTGATACAATCGACAGAAGTCGGTGGAACACTTTTCTTTTGATAAAGAGAAGTTGCGGACGGTTTTGTGTCCAACTGTACATTGAAGCACACAAATACATTACGTTCTTAATAAAAATACGCATTTATGCACCTGTAAATGTGACAGTAATGAATCGTGCGTTTTAGTATTACTTGATTGGCGAGGAGGAATGTGAAGAAGCCGAAGATGTAGAAGTTCCAAAGGCACTAGGTGATGTTTTCGAGTCATTAGCCGGCGCTATTTACTTGGATAGCGGAATGTCTCTCGATGCGGTGTGGAGTGTTTATTACACGATAATGAAGTCAGAAATTGGTAAATATACCTTGTCAAATATATCTTATCAAATTGATGTTTAAGGTATCCGGTCAATTTATTAAAAAGATTGTATAATTGCAGAACAATTCAGCACGAATGTTCCCAAATCTCCAATTCGTGAATTATTAGAATTAGAACCCGAAACGGCAAAATTTGGTAGGCCTGAGAAACTGGCTGATGGCCGTAGAGTACGAGTAACTGTAGACGTGTTTGGTAAGGGTTCCTTCAAAGGAATCGGGCGAAATTACAGAATCGCAAAGTGTACAGCGGCTAAATGCGCCCTGAAGAAATTAAAGAGCAAAGTACAGAATTACCCAAGGCAAAAACTATGACAAAACTCGTAACTTGTAAAAGGGAAAAAACACACGACAAGTTTCTTGTATTCAAGAAATTGTTGGGTGGGGGACGTTTACGTCTCAAGATTATTACATTCATGAGTGTACTTACGAACTTACAACGTTAAAAGTAATCTTTCGTTAAAAAGATAGAACATTACATCAGTGCAGTATGATGATTTAGATAGACATTAATCTTAACGAAGAAGTTGTTACATTTGAGCCTAATCGTGTTAATTGCACTGACAATTAACGAGTTGGATATAACGTGAATTAGGAGAATAAATAAATTTTACTAATTACATGTGACTGATAATAAAGTATAAAGATGAGAGAGGTAAATAACACTCGAAATATTTAATCTATAGTTATTTCGCGCGCGCGCGCGAAAGAAAAATGACTACGATAGCTCAAGGATCGATATAATTAAAAATATAATTTGAAAATATCACGAAATAGTAATATGGACAAACAGTATTTATAAAATAACATCAATTCCCAGCTTTATCCTATTTCTTCTATCGTAATGCAAATTATTATCATAGAATAACCACGTTAAGTAAAAGTCTTGTGACTTTTATTGTGTTTTGTAAGAGAAAAGATAAATAAAACTTTTCGTAACATATAAAGTTTTATAATTCAAGCAAATAAAAAAAGTAATGCATAGCGATTTATCTATAAGATAGTTGTATAAAATGTGTCGTATAAATGTACAGTATATGCAAAAACAAGTAAAAACGAATAACAACATATATAACTCTTGTGTTAAAAAGAGTAAAGAAACTAGAGTAAAAACTAAATCTTACGATCGTTTTAAATATTTCTAAACTCGCTGCAACAGGTAGCAGATAAGATAACATACAGGAATAGCAAAAATGTTTTTTATTTGAAAAAAATTCCTAAAATAATGAGCATCATAGCCGGGCTATAATTAAAATTATACAAATTGTTTGTAACATTTTTGGTTCGCATCTTTTAATCGGGGAAAAAAAAGTTATTCCGTTTGAAATAACTCTCTTGATTACTTTCTCCGTATATATTATTGTATATAATTAGAATCAAGTACCTAATCGGCTATAAAAGAGTGCTATGGCGGGATCTTCGCACTCGGAAGTCATTAATACATCTCGAAACTTATCCAGAAGTTGTAACAACTGGGATCTACGAATATTTTCTAAATACATAATCTCCTCCAAGTGATAATCTCCGTCAAAATAACCAAGACGGCACAGTCTATCGAGTAATTTCCTGTCATCGGAAGGAATATCATAATCTTCCGATTGAAAGTCGTATAACGCATCCTCCTTATCCGTGAGCGATAACTCCTCTTTGATTTCGGTAGGCGTTCCTTTTGGCGTTTCATTCAAACTCCATGTGCTTTCGCTTTCTTCTATTCTTGCAATTGTATCATTTGTTTGTTGGTCCTGTGTATCCTAATATTAAGTATAAAAAAAGGCTTAATGAGACTGAAATATGTATTACATAGTAAATAAAAACGAGTCATGACAATATTTCTTTTCTCCCTCTTTCTTTTCCTTCACTGTCATTATGATTAATTAATAATAGAATCGCACGATCGATTTACCATAGAATTATTACCAACATTACGTTCAGTCCGTGCAAGAGACTATCAAAAGACACGGTAGTACACGCAAAGCGAGACCGCACCGTGACTCTTTTACGCGAACGCACGAGTTGCGAGTACCCGATATTTTGAGATCTCAATATAGTCTCTTACACAGATCGCTGAAATTAGATCGCGGAATTTATTTCTTTTACTACTTCAATTTCGATCAATTTTGCTAATGTAAATATACCAAATAATAAGCTATTTATATTTTACTAATAAATTATACATTGTGACTTACCAATGATAAACGGCCATATACCGTTGGTACGTATCGCACATATGTGTGCAATTGTAGAAGCAAATGATTTTTTAATAGCCATATGATTATCTTTACTAATTGCGTTTGCTGCTGCGGCTGGCTCAAAGGATTCAGCTTTTGGCTAATTGAAGTTGGTAGGGAGAAATCACTGATTACCTGAAAACGTACAAAATATAATATTCACAAAGTTTTACCAGTAATTCAATAATTAGGTACTATTTACGTTACACATTATTCACTTTAAAGTAAAAAAAAGACAAAAAATTTTTAAATTAATATGTAACATAAATAGATGCAAAACATCAGAGAATGTGTGAAAATAGCTATGGTGTATATACTTGAAGTAAGCAAACTCCTGGGAAGTGTTCGGAGAAAGAATCTAGCAACTGGCTAGTCAAAACAGCATCGGGGGAGACAACATAAACATTGCTTTCGCAAAGTGGATAAATTATTGTAGCTTTTGCCCAGTAAACTAAATGACCAGCTAGCTGAAACACTTGCGCGAGTGTCAGATCCGAGTCTGCGGCTAAAGTCTGCAAACTTTTTAATGGATTGTACATCTGAATCAAACGTTTAAGTGCGGGAGAACAATCTATTTGCAAAGATTCTAACAAGTCCAATGGCTCAGTTAACAAAAGTATTCCATGATAAGGTCTTAAACTGTTCAAACACCTGTAAAACAGATTCAACGTTATATAAATATATTTAAAGTAGCGCACACGACCCACGCACACACATACACACACACGTAGTGAAATTGGAAATCAGGAATATCCCTCGGAATAAAATCTCAGAATTGAAAATAAAAAATTTCAATATATATGTATATATTAGGTTGGCCAATAAGTCCGTGCGGTTTTTTACTTA